TAAAGTGGAAGAATTCAAAGTAATCGCAAAGTTAAATTCTAATTTTCTGGAACTTTAGAAAAAATGTACATATATTATATTATTTAAACAAAAGAAACTATATTGCAGTTAGATATTTGCTATAAAATTCTGTTCTAATACCTGTAAAATATCAATTTGCTCTCTATACTAGTACACATTAATATTTATTTTAATATATATTACATGACAAGAATTGAGATGAGCGTTTTGAGGTAGGTGTACTCTTCTGTTTATAGTCTTTACATTATATTTTATTTGTTTATTTTATGTCTGTGTGTATGTGTAACATGATAAATAAATTACCCAGAGACTGATATTGGAGTTCAAGTTTCTAGCTGAATATCAGAAAAGCAATATAGCTGGTCACTAGCACCTACCACTACCTCAGGCTGAAAGGGCTGATCCTGCTGCCTCTCCTCAGCATGTCTGGAGAATGAGTATGGTCTGAGAATGAGTGCCTTCTACTGAATACTGAAGACACTGCTTCTATCTTTTATAGTCCTCTATTGCTGGGATTAAAGGCATGTAATCTGTTGCTCTCTGAGACTGATTCAATCTCATGTATCCCTGGGTAACCTTGAACTCAGAGAGATCCATCTACCTCTTAATCCTGAGTCCTATGATTAAGGGTTTATACCACTACCTCTTAGTTTCTGGCTGCTGGCATTAAAGGTGTGTGCCTGGGTTCTATAACTTGTGGCTGACTTTGCTTTCTGAATCTTCAGGCAAGCTGTAATAAATTATAAATAAGATGTATGTGTGTGATCATATGCATAACATGTGTCATGTGTGGAGGTAGAGGATAACTGTTGCAACTTGCTCAGAAACATTAACTATGTCACTTATAGATATGATATGCCAAGTTCCTCATGAAGAAATGTATCTTTCTCAACTGTTACATGAATAATTGCATCCATATCAAGATATATTGATGGTGATGGATCCTCCATGTGATGCCCAATTACTTTAAAGATTCCTCATAATTTATTAAAAACATGTTAAAATATATGTTTGTAAGTTAATTTTAGAATTTAATATGTATTCCTGTGTTAAGATAGGTTAAGTTCATTTACCACACAGTCACAGCAACTCTTTTTCTTATGCACGGGAACCTAAGGACAGACAACATAGATAAAAATCACACAGATTGTGGACTGACTAAGAAGAATCTTCAAAAATTTTCACTTGTCACCTGACACTTTTATTCATAGAATATCATAGTGAAAAGCTTACGTTCACCTTAGAGTAGCTGCAAGGTGAACAGAGAGGCTGGGAGACAGTCTTGGTGTGTCTCTGGCAAGAAACTTGTGCCTGTGTGACTCATTCCTCATTTATTCTCTAGGATCAACGTGAAGGTCACAAGATGAGGACACCCACATAGGTATTCTCATAAAGGAAGATAAACTCATGAGATTCCAGGATTAAAGGTAGACATTACTCATTTCATATTTAATAACAACATATTAAAGAGTATGATTTTTTAATGAAAACTTAACCACCATTTCAACTCCATGTTTGTTAGACAGTGCTGATCGCCTTAACACATGCCTCTTTACACACACACACACACACACACACACACACACACACACACACGATGATGGACATCAATCTCAGGGATTCTTTTTTTTTTTTTTTACGAGACAAGGTCTCTCTGTATTGTTTTGGAGGCTGTTGGTCCAGCCAGGCCTCGAACTCACAGAGACCCGCCTGCCTCTGCCTCCCCAGCGCTGGGATTAAGGTCGTGTGGCTCCACCGCCCAGCAATCTCAGGGATTCTTAATGCCAGGCAAATATTTCTTCCTTGACACTTAAAATTATTTTCTTGTTACCAGAATTGGAATTTAAATTCATAATGAAATTCTGCTGATTAGCAGATAATTTTCTATAATACACTTATGTATCCTTTTATAGGTATGGTAATTTTTTCTCCTGTAGGTGATTGATTTGAAATCTTATTGTACTAGATACTTGCTTATTCAGAAGTAATTGGTATGATGTTTGCTTTAAGGTAGACAACTCCATGTAAACTTTTATTATTATACTCTAGCTTAGAAAAGAATTTTTAAAGTTGGACATTATTCAAAATAGATTTTAACATTCTGCTGGAGTTAAATTTTCCTCCTTATTTCAAGGCAATAAATACTTTTTAAAAAGCCTTGTCTAGCTAACTATTTACTGTTTTGAGTCACTATGCCTGCTCTCAGCTTTTTCACTAATGAAAACTCAATATAAATTTGAAAATGACATGTTTTATTAAAGATATATGCATATGTAAATGTTCTTTTATGTTTTAATAAAATTATTCTGTAATTCCATTAATGATAATTAGCTTGAGTTTTAAAATGCATCATGACAATAAGAAAATTGGTAAGGAAATAGGCAACAATGGTCTATAGTTACTGGAAGCCTGTGACAGTGTTTATATCTTTTCAGGTAGACAGAATTCAAATTGCATTCATTAGCGGGGCAATATGCTGTGGAAAATGAGCAAGAAACTTAAGAAGAGGCCCCTTCATTTGCATATTTTTGCTGCAAAAACAAGCAGCATTGTTTTCTAGCTGCTCAACAGCTGTGAATGAGAGGGAAATAAAACAGCCCAGGTAAGAAAGTCAGCGTACTCCAGGTTTTGATTAAAGAAAAGAAAAAGTTTATCAATAAAGATGTCAGAATTATACTTTGTGATATCTGTGCTATAAATGAGAGTCTTGTGATCTGTTAGGAGCTGGGATATAAAACTGCTTGATGCTTCTCACATCTACCAATACCACAAGCGAAGCTGGGAGCTGTTCTCATAATAAACAATCAATCCTTCAGACTGACACAACCTAGATGTTTGCTCTTGCTGCTTAAGACTCTGAATTTCAATTAAGCAGTAAATCGTTATAGAATTATATTTTCAACTGCCAGTTCACATGCCCTAATTCCCTAGCAATTCTGAAACACTTTCATTTTGCAGAATTTTTTCTTCAGGATTCTCTCCAGAGCAAAAATTCTTACTTGACTGGTAAAGATACTTTTCATCAAAGTGAATGGCACAATATCAAATAATTACTTACATGGTGTAAAATGGCAGCTGGGTACTTACGTCAAAAGACTATTATAATTACACTTTAAGTTACAATCCACAGTATAAATTAAGGAAAATAGCTTGTATTCTTAACATTTTGGCAAACAGGTCTTGACCTAGCTCTAAGTATTAAGCCATGTATATTTGATATTTTTTCTCACTAACATATTCCTTGGAAAACGTTTTAAATAAAATGAAACATATAAGCATTCATAGTACTGGTCCCACTCAAATTAGAGGAAACATTTTCCTTTCCTATATAATCAAATCCTCATTTGTATTTTTGTCAGTAAACTTGTTTATTACAAATGTTCTGTCTGATACCTAGTGGAGCATAGACCTAAAGTTTAGTGCTGCTTCATTGAGTATTTCAGCATTTTAACAGAAAATACAGACAGCTTGAAAGATAGAATCTTTATGCATGATTTAGATAATTTAAATTTATGATGTCATGAAGCTAAATAAATGCAATTGGTAACATTCAGCTATGTCTGCCAAAGTTTTAGTATTAGAAATGAAGTGTTGTAAATAAGATAAACATATTCTATAGACAGCTTACATTGAAAACACTTCTACTTCCAGGGTTCACAGCCTATAATGTAAGTAACACAATATAAAGTAAAGCATATTCGTTGGAAGTTATTTGATATAATGATTAGTAAACAAACATTCAAACATAATTCTGCTTGAGTGCAAAACTTTGGCTTTTCTTCCCTCCACGAAAAATTTGGGGGTCTGGGAGGGAGTTGGTGGTAGTGGGGAAGGAGCGGAGGGAGAGGTAGTTGGGATTGACATGGAAAGAAACAACTAAGTTAAATAAAAATATTCTATGGTATTCCCTCATTGGCTTTACAAAACTTATTAGTAATGTAAGCCTAATTTAATACCATAAAACATAGAACTATTGATTCCAAAGATTTAGTTAGTATCACATATTTTATTGTGGAAAATACATAGATTTATTTGTCCTATAAAACCTCTCTGTATCCTAAAAGGAGCAAGGTAATTAACAAAATCCATCCAGCTAAACATTCTCATGAACTAACAGAACTTCATTCCATGACTAAGATTAACCCATCAAAGAACAACTAAGGGTTTTATTAACTGATTGGCTGCCATCAAAGTGAAACATGTTGTAGTAGGACACCATTTACAAAAGCGAGGAAGGAAAATTATTTATGTCTGGATTATGAAAATGAAGGATTTGAACACTAACGAGTTATATGACTCTAGGCTTCCCAAACAGATTTTTTGAAAACATAATCTATAAAGGAACGCTTGTATATAAGGAGAAACATTCTTTTAACAACAGTATCTCACTCTTGGATTGGATTTTCTGATGGGGTGAATCATAACACAATGATAGCAATTGCACAACCAACCGGTATTTTTTGAAAATAATATAAGAAGTTTGCTTATGAGACAATATAGATGGTATTAAGGTAACTAATCACATACTCATGCCCTATCCCAATGACATACATGACAGACAAAACAAAAGGAGAAATGGTATAAATAAGAAGGGTGGTGGGAATAACAGGAGTAAAATAATACAATATATACAGTGGAGCCCACTCTATGTGTCAAAATTATATTTCATATAGAAAAATGGCATAAGGTGTATATAATGAATATTTCATGACTTCAAAAATGAAATAGAAATTATTTTAAGAGGTAATGATTTACAAAACAATGCACACTTATACCAATTCCTTCAAAGAAAACTTACATATCTATACAATGCAATAATTCTGATCAATTATTTTCCTATTATTTTCCTAAAATATAAAACACCTTAACCAATGCTTTTATAATTTTACACATAATATTAAACTTATAAAGGAGAAAATCATTTGAGAATGGAAAAATAAAAGAGGGATCATTAACCTTGGAAGACATGATGCACTTACCATCATGATTGGGATTTCCCAGTGTCCAAGGTTCATCAGAATCAAAATGAGTGTCTCCTCCAATTCCTGGTCCAGGGAAATAGGCATGTGCCAAAAATCCTCCCTCCCCATCAAAAGGGGAACTGTCTCCATGAAAACCAGATGCAAAAATGATGGTTATATCCACATCACGTTTGCCATTTTCTAGTTCACTGTAGGGAACTTCTTCAAATGTTAGCGGAGTTACATTCTGCCACACATCAAAGGCACGGCGAATTGCTCTCCTGGTCTCAGGGTCTCCAACTTTTGGAGTTACGTTCTTTATACTGAAAGTTGGAAAAGATAATTATCAGTGTGGCTTCTTGTGTGTAATTTGAATTATTGCAATTTTTCACCTCTTTAGTTCAGAATTATCAGAAAAAATGACTGCATTATAGAGAAATAGAATTTATTCATTTTAATCGACTATATAGACACTCTTCATTACACTGGGTTATTTCATTATCATCAAGGGAACATTTATGAGCCAAGGCTATTAAGGAGAAGAGCTGTGTAGGACACTTAGCGGGTGGTAGGATGATAGATCAATCAGTTTGCCAAGTGATGAAGCAGGTGCCTCATTTGAGTTGAAATAAAAAACCCAATTTCCTTTTTATTTCCATCATTGTATAGTTATTTTTCTGTAATTATACAATCAAATAATATCTTTATGCTTAGATATCTAATGCCAACTCAGCATGAAGCAAGTTTTATATATGTTTAACAAAGGCCCAGTTATTGTGGTCTCTGTTATTCTGATTTGCATAACAAGGTTTTTTAGAAACAAACACAAAATAAAATATCTACTTACAATGAAGATTTACAAATTTTGTCAATTTAAAAGTATTCAGGAAAAAATAAAAAAATTACCTTGAAATGTTTACTTCATTCAATCTAACGACATACATTGATAAAACAAAACTACTATGTTTGATTCATTTAACACTAATCATATATGTATATATATATGTATATATATATTAGGATTTCCTGGTAATTTCTTTCAAATACAACATAAATGAAACCAGTATATATAATTATGTAATTTTATGGTGCAGAATACTTTCACTCTATGCATTTTAAAATTCACAGATGAATACTCCTGAGTCCACAGGTTTCAAATTCTCTCAATCAGTAACATTATGTAAATAAGATTACATCAAGTAAAATCTTTAATATAAAAAATGCTGATGTTCACCTGAATATAGCTTACTATACAGTCATCAAAGATAATTGGGGGACCTGCAATTTACAATGAGAGTGAAGTAGCGAAATTATGGTATCTAAACTGCATGACATTACTTATATAGGACTAAGATTTATTTTTCTTATTAAAATCTATTTCTCAATATTGAAAACATTTGAAGTCGTACTTTCTAGTAAAAAAGGCAACATTCTGATTATATACAACTAATTTCTATATAATAATTAAAATACTACAATAATAATTATCTTCTTTGAGCATTGTGAGTATGACAAAACACTCAACATAACATATCTAATCCTACCAATACCACGTGGAGCAGAGTATTAATGCCTACATTATAAAAATGTTGCAATTTACATTAATTTAAAGAAAACTTTTCCCATGAGATGAGAATGTTCTGACAAGTCTTTTTCTAAACACAAGTCTCTTGTCTTGTAGTCCATATACCCCATAACACATGTCCCATCCAAAAATAAACTTTGCTTTCCTTTATAATGCATAGTCTAGACTTTATTTATATTTTAATATTATTTATTGAATATTACTCATTCTTTAAAAAAGGACAAAGCACCAATAAGTAGAAATGGAAATGTTCCAGCATAATCCAAGGGCAAAAAATTACATGGTGTAGCTTGGGCAGTGAGAAAGGGGTTGTCAGAGGTTTTTTTTTCTTAATTTTGTTTTCTATTTTTTAAAAAAAAAGTCTTCATGTAACTGAGCTGAATGTCGAAATTATGGAACAAATCTCTAGCTCTTTTGTCCCTATAATTTTTAAATGTTATATTTTTATTAATGACCTCCACTTTACTTATTGTATGTTGCTCTGAGTTATGGAAGACGAAATGGCGCATTTGCAATGACGCTTGGCTTTGGGTTTCTATCTTGAATAAGTGATTTGAGCCACAATGTGGAATGTATAATGTAGCAGAGAAAATGCTGAACTGGAAGGCATTTAAGGACTTGCAGTCCTCAAGTTGGAAGATGGTGGGACAATGGATCAGGTGGTGACAACAGAGACAGGATGCATTTTTGAGGGTACACACAAGTAAATTTAACATCAGTGAGAGGATGGATACAAGAAACTGCTTTTGCTGGCTTATGGATGGTTGGTTGTCAGTTTGTGTTCATCCTCTACTCCATTCAGCATAACACAGAGCATTATATTTTGAGAAAAACGAAGTATCTACTCGGAGGCATCAAAGACTCTGTAGCAGCCGGGCGGTGGTGGCGCACGCCTTTATTCCCAGCACTTGGGAAGCAGAGGCAGGCGGATCTCTGTGAGTTCAAGGCCAGGCTGGACCGACAGCCTCCAAAACAATACAGAGAAATCCTGTCTCATAAAACAAAAAACAAAACAAAAAAAAAGACTTTGTATGTAGTTAGAACTCATTTCACATCTTGAGGCAGAAGAGGCATGCCAAGTGAAGATATAATTCTTACTTTTGTGCAGATTAAATTACTAGTAGCATTTATCCTCTTTATACACTGAGACTGCAAATGTGCTACTGGAATGCTGTTTGAAAAGATTTACTGCAGAAAGAGTACTTAACTAGATGCTGGACTATATTCCAAGAAAGTTTGTATAATTTTTGCAACAAGACATAGGAAATTTAAAGAAAGCCAATGATAACCTTGGATAACAATTGAGTGAGTGAGGAGGCAAACAAAAGATGCTCAATGTTGCACCAAAGTCACTTAGCACTTAGTGTCTAGATAAAGAAGCAGCCAATTGTAGGCCATTCCAAGAAAGTAGCTGCGCTAATGTGTCAGAGAGTTAAAAATGAGAGACGACTGTCAGGACGATAATACTCTATAGATGAAAGATTCTAGAAAGGTGTAAGCATAGAAGGCCTACGATCATATTATATTATGGAAATTAGTATATCCTATGAAAAACTGAGGAGAGGGTAAAAGTAATAGGAAAAATATCCTTCCACTAACTCACAGAGACAGGAGCATGTTAAGAATAATGGTCCTGGAGACACAGAGAAGATGTTTTACCCTATATTCTGCGAGAACTGTAAGTGTAGATTGGTGATAAAATATATGATGGAGAAATTGATTTCATTTCAAGTACTTGATACATTAAATGATGAAAACGAACTTATGCTAGTACGATTTTAGCTAAGTTATTAGAGGCTATGAGAAAAATAAAGCAAAAAGGACAATACAGACTAACATACCCTGTAAATGCTTTAACTTGAAAACTGTCACTGTTTTCCTGATTCAGTACACCGATAAGCTTCCAAAATATGCTTTGCCATTCTACATGTGATATTATTTATAAATAAATATAAACCACACATGTGTACTTCACATCCACGTTGGGAATTCAATATAGGAAACTCAAAAAGCAAGGTGTCACTAAAAAATGTGCTTCTTAATAACCTATTATATTAGCTGATAAATGAGATAACAAAGGCATAGGATTGACAGTAAAGTGGGTAGCCATAAATTTCTAATATGTGATGCACAAATAACTAAATGTTAGCCACATAAAACATCAGTACTATAAAATGAGAAGTCCCAATTTTTGTCTACTCTAATGAACCTGATTGATTTGGAAAATATTGCTTGAACCTGATTGATTTGGAAAATATTACTTGCTCATTTCCTTATATAGATAAAGAGAACATCCATTAAAATGGATTTCATTTGCTCAAGTGTTTATCTGCATATATTGGATACATACATATACATATATATGTGTGTGTGTGTGTGTGTGTGTGTGTGTGTGTGTTTTATAAAACTGTAGTCAATGGCTAGGGCTTCTTATTGGTTAGCTGTGTCTTTTTTTCCCTTCAATATATATTTTATTTAACTTAGAAACATGCATACTTCACATGTCAATCCCATCTCCCTCTCCCAACCCCTCCTCCCTTGTCCCTCCACCAGCATCCCATCCAATCCACACACCATTCCCCAGGGATGGTGAGGTCCTCCATGTGGCTACTTAGAATTTTAACACTCTTCAAATTTTCGTTCTGATAATATTTTGAATTTTAATCTAAAAGGCACACTAAACACAAGACAACATTAAACTAATACAGCAAACTGTTCAGAGACTTTTATTTATTGGAATAATTGGCATTGGTATCAAAATAAGTGAGCTGAGTTTTTTAACTATGAAGACTTGGGGTTTCTACTCCTAACATCACTATAAACTAACTGTTCCTGTTAATTTCATGATAACAACACATAGGAAGATTGTTAATTTATTTTTTATTATCTTGGTAAATCTTTTGCAATGTGAGACTGTAGTTTTATCTCTTATATAGCAGGTAAGAACAAAGATTAATGCCTTGGAATTTAATTAAAATACAGAAACATTTTAATACTCTTTCCTCAAGATCACTAATGTTTGGGAGAGATAAATCATTTATGTAAGGAAAAAGCCTTCTCTGGCATAAATTATAAACAAACAAACATTGTTTTCTAGGCTTATAGATAACATTCAGGGTGTTCAGTTATTGAATAAGGTCTGTAGTCAAGAACTTTGTCATTGCATGGTATGCATATTGGAGAATATACAGTGAAAAGATAAAGAGCCAGCCACACAAAAATATTCAGAACCAACTAAAAGTCTGGGATATTGAACTAGTTATTCAAACTAATTCATTGACATATCAGAATCTCAATAAAAACTTAGCTAACATAAAAATATAAGGTTTTTTTTGTGTGTGTGGTGTGTGTGTGTGTGAGCCTAGTGATAGAAACTGTAAGAAACAAAATAGAGAACAGGGCAGAAATGACATTACATGTAAAAAATGAGGGAAGCCTCTGGTATTCTTATTATGGCCAAGAAAAGAATCAGCGAATTCTAAAATATTGCAGGAAATTTCTAAACTGCAAAATATTGCAAAGAAATGATGTATACCAGAATAGATTATTCCAGGAACTATAGGAAAATAGATGTAAAGATTACATGTAAATGAAGAAGAGCATATGTAACAATGTCAGACAATGTTTCAATGTTAGCAACAGAAAACATGTTACTGATCCATGAAACTCAGAGCTCATGTAGGAGCAATGCCCATCACATCAAAATATTATATATTTATAAGAACAAATCAATCAATT